ACAGAGATCATGGCCGGGTGTGGTGGCTCCTGCCTGTAATCCCAGCACTTTGGGAGGCCAAGGTGGGTGGATCACCTGAGGTCAGGAGTTTGGGAGCAGTCTGACCAATACGGTGAAACCCTGTCTCTATTAAAAAAAAAAAAAAAAAAAAAAAAAAAAAAAAAACTTAAAAAAATAAAAGAACAGCCGGGCGCGGTGGCTCAAGCCTGTAATCCCAGCACTTTGGGAGGCTGAGGCGGGTGGATCACGAGGTCGAGAGATCGAGACCATCCTGGTCAACATGGTGAAACCCTGTCTCTACTAAAAATACAAAAAATTAGCTGGGCATGGTGGCGCGTGCCTGTAATCCCAGCTACTCAGGAGGCTGAGGCAGGAGAATTGCCTGAACCCAGGAGGCGGAGGTTGCGGTGAGCCGAGATCGCGCCATTGCACTCCAGCCTGGGTAACAAGAGCGAAACTCCGTCTCCGAAAAAAAAAAAAATAAAAAAATAAAAGAACAGAGATCATGCCAGGTGCGGTCGCTCCCGCCTGTAATCCCAGCACTTTGGGAGGCCGAGGTGGGCAGATCACAAGGTCAAGAGATAGAGACCATCCTGGCCAACATGGTGAAACCCGTCTCTACTAAAAATATAAAAATGACTGCGTGTGGTGGTACACACCTATAGTCTCAGCTACTGGGGAGGCTGAGGCAGGAGAATTGCTTGACCCCAGGAGGCGGAGGTTGCAGTGAGCTGATATCATGCCACTGCACTCCAGCCTGGTGACAGAACAAAACTGTCTCAAAAAAAAAAAAAAAAAAAAAAAAAGAAGAAGAAGAAGAAAAAAAGAGAACAGAGATCATTCAGCACTATCCTAGAAATTTTTGAGCATATTTTCATCCTGATATTATTATCCCCTTTCATTGGATAGAAACTGACTCTCAGAGAGATTACATAACTTGCCCAAGGTCAAACAACTAGTAAGTGGCAGAGCTGGGATTCAAAATCAGAATTATCTAAATTTGAATACCTTTGTCCTTATATGTGGCCAGTCGGGTAAGTACTTCCCGTCAAATGAACTGGTAGATGGGAATGGTTAATAGCATGGATTCTAGAGTCAGACTGTCATCTGGTTTGAATTCTGGCTGCTCCATTTACTGGCTTATTTGGGAAGTCATCTAACTTCTCTAAGCTTCAGTTACCTTATCTATAAAATGAGGCTAGTAATACCTACCTTTTAGAGGTGTTAAAAGGATGAAGCTATGTAAATGCTTACTAGAGTGGCTGACATAGAACAAGCATTCAGATTATTGTTATAGATGGCTGTCTCAACTCAGGGAGCTCCAAAGCTCAGTTGTTCAAGTCCTTTGAGTGTTTTTGTTTTTTGGGTTTTTTTTTTTTTTTTCTTTTGAGGCAGGGATTTGCTCTGTCACCCAGGCTAGAGTGCTGTGGTACAATCACAGCTCACTGCAGCCTCAACTCCCAGGCTCAATCAATCTATTCTCCAACCTCAGCCTCCCGAGTAGCTGGAACTATAGGTATGCACCACCATGCCTGGCTAATTTTTGTATTTTTTTGTAGAGATGGGGTTTCACCATGTTGGCCAGGTTGGTCTTGAACTAGATCGTTCTTCACAGCCAGGAGACTTGTCCTTTTTCCATGTTTTTCTCTGGGTCTTTCTACCAGTGCCAGGAGGTGGGATGACTCCCTGGGTTGACCCTGGAGCTTCCACTAGTCTCTTACTGTTCTTCCCACCTCAGGGCTGAACATGGGCCCAGTTGTGGCAGGTGTCATCGGGGCCCGGAAGCCGCAGTATGACATCTGGGGGAACACAGTGAATGTCTCTAGCCGTATGGACAGCACGGGGGTCCCCGACCGAATCCAGGTGAGGGGAATATGATCAGGAGCTGGGTGGAGCATGGGCCTAGAGGGCTTCCACAGGCGTCTCTGCGGTCTGCTAGGACAGGGGTAGGGTGGCTAGTATTCTGTGTTTGGTGGGGCAGGGGTTGGGGGAAGGGAGCTAGCCTGACTAGAGAACCCCTGGGCCCCTGCAAATGCAGCAGGAAGGATTCCAGGCTAAGCAGGCTCCCCTCCCACTCCCCCAGGTGACCACGGACCTGTACCAGGTTCTAGCTGCCAAGGGCTACCAGCTGGAGTGTCGAGGGGTGGTCAAGGTGAAGGGCAAGGGGGAGATGACCACCTACTTCCTCAATGGGGGCCCCAGCAGTTAGCAGGGCCCAGCCACAAATTCAGCTGAAGGGACCAAGGTGGGCATTGAGAGGACTCTGTGCTCACTGGGTGGAGCTGTGGCAGGGGGCACTGGGCCTCTAGACCCTGCTAACCACAAAAGGGGACACCACAGCAGGCTGTGCTTGGATTATGCTCTCCTGCCCTCAAGCTGGTGAACAAGGGGCTACCTACCAAGAGGATTATTGCAAGTGACTTTCTTTCTTAATTGGGGCAGGGCTGTTCCCTCTCCAATCTTCCAGCTTTGGGGAGCAGGGGAGGGGTCAGTAGCAGGAGCAGAGGGAGCTCTCTCGCCTGAGGGATTAAAATGGCAGCTTGCCATGCCTATCCCTTCCCTGTCTGTCTGGGCAGCAGGTTCAGGGCTGGGCCCTTCTTTTCCCTCTTTTTTCCCGGGAATATTTTGTACAATATTTTGTACAAAGATAGGCATGAGGAGTGCCTATTCCATGCTTGCCTTTGCAATACCTGCATCCCCACCACTGGTCTTGGGCACTTCCCCACCCCAGCCAGGTGTCCCTCGTAAGCACAGGGCAAAGGAGGGAGATGCTCTGGGGAGCCAGCTCTGGCCATACTTCAGGAGAATGTTTCCATGTGCCAAATCGTAGTCCCATGATCTGTCCCCAGAGGGGAACAAAGGGACCTCTTGACAGCTTAGATTTAGCCCCAGTTCCTGCATGCTCCAGGGAACAGGGTATCTGGCCTCACTGGTACTGTGAAAATGCTCAGAGAGCAATCATGTGTGTGGGGATGTCAGGTCAGGAGCTGGAAGTTCACCTGTAGGTGCCAAAGAGCAGGCTGGCCAGGGCTAGGGCAGTGCCAGACTCTGATCTAAGGACCCCAGCGGGGTGCAGGTCAGGTCACTCTGCCCCAGTGCTCTCTTGCTGTCTGCTGGCAAGGGGGCATGGAGCATCTCTCCCTCTTCTGTTGCCAAATAGAAAAGGGTCAGGGCATGGAGATAGATGACCCTGAGCCCAAACCTGCCCTCCCAAGTCTCGTGTTGGGGAGGGCCTGTGTGTTTGTGTAACTGTATGTGCATGTTGGTCTTTGTGTGCATATCTGTTTTCCAGGTCTGTGTGAGTCCTTGTGCTCCTGCTCCTCAGCTCTCCACCCCAGGTCGCGTCTCTCCTGTGGGCCTCTGTCTTCTGGGAATAAAGCAGGGTTTCCTATTTCAGGGGCTGTAGAAAGATGCCCAGGTTGCACAGGAGTGGGATGGGGTGTGGTAGCAAAAGGAGGGAGAGGAGTCCTTTTTGTGCCAAATCCCTAAGTGCCGTTTGGGGCCATGTGTGCAGCATGACTCTCCCTGCCTGCGGCAGGGACCCAAGCACTTGCTTGAGCCCCAGTGCTCCATGCAGCACTTGAACTGTCTGGGGTTTGGTGGACAGAGGCTCAGGAATTTCCTGGGTTCCCCAGATAGTGTCCTGGAACATGGTTTGCTTTGGGGCTAGGGTAGCATGGGATCCCTCTGAGGACCCAGATACTGGTACTAGGGGCTGGGGAAGGGGAACCTTAAACTTGGCTTTTCCCAGCCTTCATCCTGAGTCTAGCATGTTTCTGGCTCCCCAGGCCCTTGTGAAGCCTTGAGGGCTGGCAGAAGGGTTAGGAGGTTGAACTCTAGATTCCCTTCCTATCTTTGCCTTCCTTCCTTTCCCTGCAGCCTCCTTGATTCTGGCCTGAATTTGGTTGTGCCTCAGTTTCTCTGTCTATACCTATTTAAGCCAAAGGCACTAGCCTGAATTTTGCTTGAAGATCACTTTGTCTTGGAAATGACTAGAGAGGCAGAGGAGAAGGGTTTCCAGAGTTGCTGGGTTTGGGAGTGGAAGGGGCAGGCAGTGCACCTGCCCTTTTTCATGCGCCTTCTGATACCAGCTCCCTGTGGAGGCCTGGTTTCTGGGTACTGCCTCCCTTGGGCATCTTCATGCACCAACCAAATGGGCCATCAGGTACTTCATTAGTCATGGCAGAAGAGGGGAAAAGACTTGTTGTTACAGACAGAAAATCTGCTCCCCTGCCCCCAGCCATATCCCTGGATAGGAAGGGATACAAAGAGACTACTTGGTGCCATGAGGTAGGGGTGAGGGTGTAAGTAGATCAGAGTGGGAAGACCTCAGCCTTGGGTGGCTTGTCTCTGCTTCTTGCCAGGTGGGAGGGCCTGTCCACATCCTGGCTCCCTGTACCACAGTGCCAGCCATGCCCTTCCCCTGGGCTACCATTGCCCCTTTCCTCACCAGTTGGTGGAGGAGTCAGGAGATGGGAGGCCATGGGCTTTGGTTTTATAATGTAACCACTGTGGGAGGGGGGAGGATGGTGTACCATGTATTTCAGTGAAATATTTAATATATTTAAATATCAATAAAATCAAAGTCTTTGTAAAATTCCCTGTTCTGTGTAGCTGTTCTGGGCCCTGGGTGGGTCACAAGTGACAGAGCCTGACGTAGAAGGCAACCTCCTGCCCCAGGGCTCTGTGGGCCTCTCGTCTGTGGTCAGAGGACTTCCTGTGGCTTTCTCCTTGCTAGGGAGAAGCTGCAGTACTTCAGAGTGTGACTACTCAAGGCCTTTCAGCATCATGAGCTCCAGTGTGTGCCTTCCCAGATTTATTACACTGACCCCTGCCATGCAGGAGGCCCGAGGTTCTTTCCAGTGCCTTGGCCCCTTGCAGACCTCTCACTCCAAGGTCTGGCTCATTCAGGAATCTCTCCCAAACCACCTCTCACAACAACCTGGGCACTGGAATCACCCCACCCTCACCCTACAACTCCCCCAGTGCACACAAGCAACTTTTAGTCCAATCTGTTTACTCTGCTTTCTCCACCACCTCCTCCCATTCATCAGCCATCAGAACTGGGAAACCTCCTTCTTTCCTTCTCTTTAAACTCCACAATTCATCTTGTCTTTCTGCAGTTGTATCTTATTAATACAGACTGAAGGTTCTGTCATTGAGAATAGAGTGATCCATAAACCTAGAAAGAAGAGATTCAGAGAGAGATTCAGCCAGGCCAGGCTGGAGGGCAGGAGATCCTTAAAAATAGTTCCTAAGAGGCCAGGCGTGGTGGCTTACGCCTGTAATCCCAGCACTTTGGGAGGCCAAGGCAGGCGGATCACCTGAGGTCAGGAGTTCAAGACCAGCCTGGCCAACATGGTGAAACGCTGTTTCTACTAAAAATACAAAAATTAGCCAGGCATGGTGGTGGGCACTTGTAATCCCAGCTACTTGGGAGACTGAGGCATGAGAATCATTTGAATGCCCAGGAGGCATAGGTTGCAGTGAGCCGAGATTGCACTCCAGCCTGGGTGACAGAGCGAGACTCCATCTCAAAAAAAAAAAAAAAAGAATGAGTAGGTGTAGTGATGAAAAAGTAGGGCTGCTGCCGGGTGCCGTGGCTCATGCCTGTAATCCCAGCACTTTGGGAGACCCAGGCTGGTGGATTGCTTGAGGTCAGAAGTTTGAGACTCGCCTGGCCAACATGGTGAAACCCTGTCTCTATAACAAAAAAGAAAAAAGAAAAAAGAAAAAGTAGGGCTGCTGCCAATGGGTGGTAATTTGAGGGGTGGAGAGGTAGTGAGAAGGCAGCATTGGGCTGCCACAGGAATACTATGGACACTCGTTTTGCACCAGCTCAGAAGTCACACCCACAAAGAGAAACACAAAGACAAATGTGTAACTCCTTTGAATGCATCGTGGCCAAAATTCTGGGGCCACTTTTTTCTGGTAAGTCTCAAATCTCTCCTATTTCCCTAACCTGACCAGAGATGAAATAGTCTCTATTTAAGGGAAGGGAAGGAGTACTTCCCTTCAACTCCCCACTTTTTCCCCTCCCAGCCTAACCTGGTCATCGCGCTTTTTATGAGACAGTGTCGTGGGCCCCGGATCCATGGCGTGGTTTCCTCTGGACGTACTCCTGGATCATGGGAACGCCAGAAGCTGAAGTTCTGAGCATCAGTCAAGGGGACTCTGAAGACCTGATTGGGAACTGAATGGGTGAGGGGAAGGGCAGGTTATCTAATTCTGTGCTCTTTCCTGCCTCAGGGCAGCAATAGCCTAGCCCAGCCCAGCCCAGCCCAGCAACTGCTGGGCCTGACCAGGTGCTGAGAGGTCCTGGGAGTGTGGTCACCACACCCTGCTTCACTTCCGGATTCCAGCATCTCACACCCTTCATGGTCAAATGAATGTCTTGGTTCTTCCTGCTGCTAGTAAGCCCATCTCCAAGAGAGCTTTCTCCAAGTGCTAAGATGGTAGAAAAACAAGTGGCCCACCCACTTGGGAAATGTGTAAAAATAATAGGTCCACTGATCTATTATTTTTCTCTTTTATTGGCTTTTTTCTTTCTTTTTCTTTTTTTTTTTTTTTTCTTTTCATTTTTCTTGGCTTTTTTCTTTCTTTCTGTTCCCTACTCTTGGAAAAAAATGCCTTCCTTTGCTCACTCCAGGTAATTCTCTGAAACCTAGCTGATACCACCTCACATTTAGATGCTGTTAACAGATGTCATTTATCTAGTGTCTATCATGTTCTAGATGTGGTATTAAATATTTTTTAAATTTTTTGAAATAATATCAGATTCAGATGCTGTTTGAAAAAGTACTTTTGGCCAGGTGTGGTGACTCATGCCTATAATCCCAGCACTTTGAGAGGCAAAGGCAGGCAGATTACTTGAGATCAGGAGTTTGAGACCAGCCTGGCCAACATGGCGAAACCCCATCTCTACTAAAAATACAAAAATCAATCTGGAATGGTGGCGGACACCTGTAATCCCAGCTATTCGGGAGGTTGAAGCAGGAGAATTGCTCGAACCTGAGAAGCAGAGGTTGCAGTGAGCTGAGATTGTGCCACTGTACTCTAGCCAGGGCAGCAAGACAGTATCTCAAAAAAAGAAAAAAAAAGAAAAAAAAAGGTATTTTTGGCCGGGCGCTGTGGCTCACACCTGTAACCCTAGCACTTTGGGAGGCCGAGGTGGGTGGATCACCTGAGGTCGGGAGTTCAAGACCAGCCTGGCCATCACAGTGAAACCCCATCTTTAAAAAAGAAAAAGAAGTATTTTTACTATTTATTTAGATATGTCTAATTCTACCAGTAAAAAATTTGTATATTTTAAAAACTTAGAATTATAGCCTAATATTCTGGATTGCTATATAGTGTTTATAATGTTCTTTTTTTTCTTTTTTGAGGTGGAGTCTTGCCCAGGCTGGAGTGCACTGGCAGGATCTTGGCTCGCTGCAACCTCCGCCTCCCAGGTTCAAGCGATTCTCCTGCCTTAGCCTCCCCAGTAGCTGGGACTACAGGTGCATGCCACCGCGCCTAGCTAATCTTCTGTATTTTTAGTAGAGATGGGGTTTCACTATGTTAGCCAAGATGGTCTTGAATCTCCTGACCTTGTGATCTGCCTGCCTCAGCCTCTCAAAGTGCTGGAATTACAGACATGAGCCATTGTGCCTGGCCTATAATAATTTTTTTTTAATTCCTAATAATTCATTGAGTAGGTGTTATATTTTTGGCTTATTTTCCTACAAATTAATAGTAAGCTAGTGAAAAGTTTTGCTTTTAGAGGCTGGGTGTAGTGGCTCACACCTGTAATCCCAGCACTTCAAGAGGCAGGTGTATCACTTGAGCCCAGGAGTTCCAGACCAGCCCAGGCAACATGTTGAAACCCCATTTCTACAAAAAGTACAAAAATTAACCCAGCATGGTGGCACACACCTGTAGTACCAGGAGGCTGAGATGAGAAGGGTCATTTGAGCCTGGGAGGTTGCTGAGGCTGCAGTGAGCAGTGACTGTGCAGCTGCACTCCAGCCTGGGTAACAGAGCAAGACTCTGTCTCAAAAAAATAAAAATAAAAAGAAATTAAAGTTTTGCTATTAGAAATAACTTACTACCCCTCTTTCCACATGTGCCTGTTTTGATTTCTGAAAGTATTTTAGGTTTTTAAGCTTTAGTTTTGTTATAATTATAGGTTCACATACAGTTGTAACAAATAATACAGGGAAACCAGGTGCAGTGGCTCATGCCTATAATCCCAGCACTTTGGGAGGATTACTTGAGCCCAGGAGTTCAAGACCAGCCTGGGAAACATAGTAAGAATCTGTCTCTATTAAAAAACAAACAAAAACAAAAACAAACAAACAAAACCAGGGAAATCCTGTGTACAATTTACCCTTCCCCACAATGGTTACAACTTAGAAAACTAGAGTACACTACCACAACATGATATTAATATATTGAATATATTGATACAGAACAGTTCCATTGCCACCCATCCTGGAGTTGCCATTTTATAGCCACCCTCTCCCACCCCCACCTCCACTTTAGAAATCAGTGATCTGTTCTTCATTTTAGGAATGTTATAAGAATGTTATATAAGAATGTCATAATAGCACTCTCAGTGGTTGTGTATTCACTCTGCCTCTCTATATTTTCTTGCAAGTCACCAAAGTATTAGATTGCTTTCTGTTTAAAGCTCTTCTAGGATCCCCATTGCAATTAAAATCCAAGTTACTCTACTCTGGCCTATAACACATTTTCATGATCTAACCCCTGCCCAGCTCACTGAACTCTTTTTTTTTTTTTTTTTTTTGAGATGGAGTTTCACTCTTGTTGCCCAGGCTGGATGGCATGATCTCGGTTCACTGCAACCTCTGCCTCCAGGGTTCAAGCAATTCTCCTGCCTCAGCTTCCCGAGTAGTTGGGATTACAGGTGCCTGCCACCATGTCCAGCTAATTTTTGTATTTTTTTAGTAGAGACAGGGTTTCACCATGCTGGCCAGGCTGGTCTCAAACTATCAACCTCAGGTGATCTGCCTGCTTCAGCCTCCCAAAGCGCTGGGATTATAGGCATGAACCACGGAGCCCAGCCTCCTACATGCTTTTTAATTAATTAATTAATATTTTTTTGAGACAGAGTCTCACTCTGTCACCCAGGCTGGAGTGCAATGGTGCACTCGGCTCACTGCAACCTCTGCCTCCCAGGTTCAAGCAACTCTCCTGCTTCAGCTTCCCGAGTAGCTGGGATTACAGGCACCCATCACCATGCCCAGCTAATTTTCGTATTTTTAGTAGAGACGGGGTTTCACCATACTGGCCTGGCTGGCCTGGAATTCCTGACCTTGTGATCTGCCTGCATTGGCCTCCCAGAATGCTGGAATTACAGTCATGAGCCACAGTGCCTAGCCAATTTTATTTTATTTTATTTTTTTTGAGACAGGGTCTTGCTCTTTTGTCCAGGCTGGAGTGCAGTGGTGCTATCACAGCTCATGGCAGCCTTGACCTGCCAGGCTTAAGCGATCCTCCCACTTCAGCCTCTTGAGTAGCTGAGACTACAGGCGAACACCACCATGCCCGCTAATTTGTGTGTGTGTGTGTGTGTGTGTGTGTGTGTGTGTGTGTGTGGTGGTGGTTTTTGAGACGGAGTTTCGCTCTTGTTACCCAGGCTGGAGTGCAATGGCACGATCTTGGCTCACTGCAGCCTCAGCCTCCTGGGTTCAAGCAATTCTCCTGCCTCAGCCTCCCAAGTAGCTGGGACTACAGGCTGTGCCACCATGCCCAACTAATTTTTGTATTTTTAGTAGAGATGGGGTTTCACCATGTTGACCAGGATGGTCTTGATCTCTTGACCTCGTGATCCACCCCACTCGGCCTCCCAAAGTGGTGGGATTATAGGCGTAAGCCACCATACCCGGCCTTGTTTTTTGTTTTTTGTTTTTTTTTTTTGAGGCAGAGTCTCACTCTGTCACTCAGGCTGGAGTGCAATGGCTCGATCTCTGCTCACTGCAACCTCAGCCTCCTGGGTTCAAGTGATTCTCCTGACTCAGCCTCCCAAGAATCTGGGATTACAGGCATCTGCCACTACACCTGGCTAATTTTTTTTTATTTTTAGGTGAGACGGGGTTTTGCCACGTTGGCCAGGCTGGTCTTGAACTCCTGACCTCAAGTGATCCACCCACCTCGACCTTCCAGAGTGCTTGGATTATAGGCGTGAGCCACCGCGCCCAGCTGTATGTTTTATAGATGGAGTTTCACCATGTTGCTCAGGCTGACTACATGCTTTTTTTAAATGTACATGTTGTCTATTCACAATAGTGCTAAGAAGTATGGTTCCCATTTTCAGATGTTTCAGAGAGGCTGTGGTTAAAGGAACTTGCCTAAGGTCACATAATTCATTTGCAGTTTAAACTTAGTTTGGTAAGATGCCAAAGCTGGTGCTTCCTACTCCTGGCAGGGATAATGCATGATAATATACAATGGTTTCATTTTTACTTTTTTCTCCCAATAATTCTAAAAGATCAGTAGAACAATAGCTCAGGCGTTTTCTCTCCCCCACATCCTAACTTAAAAACACTGAGGAGCCTGGCACGGTGGCTCATGCCTGTAATCCCAGCACTTTGGGAGGCTGAGGCAGGTGGATCACCTGAGGTCAGGAGTTCAAGACAAGGCTGGCCAACATAGTGAAACCCCATCTCTACTAAAAATACAAAAATTAGCCAGGTATGGTGGCACACTTCTGTAGTCCCAGCTACTTGGGAGGCTGAGGCATGAGAATCACTTGAACCCGGGAGGCGGAGGTTGCAGTGAGCCGAGATCGTGCCACTGCACTGTAGCCTGGGTGACAGAGTGAGAATCTGCCTCAAAACAACCACAACCACCACCACCACAACAAAACTGATCAGGTTAATAAAGGGTAAATGGGCCAGGTGTGGTGGCTCGTACCTGTAATCCCAAGACTGTGGGAAGCCAAGGTGGGAGGATCACTTGAACCTGGGAGTTTGATACCAGCCTGGAATACAAGCATGACTCTATCTCTACAAACTGTTTATTTTAAAAAATTAGCCAGGCTTGGTGGAGCATGCCTGTAGTCCCAGCAATTCAGGAGGCTGAGGTGAGAAGATCACTTGAGCTCAGGAGTTCGAGGCTGCAGTGAGCTATGACTGCACCACTGCACTCCAGCTTGGGTGACAGAATGAGACCCTGACCCTGTTTCAAAAAAAAGAAGAGAGAGAAAAAAAAAGTGAGATATCAAACAACAGGCAGAACTAGGATTCAAACATGGATCTTCTGCTTCCAAGCCTGATTCAGATTTCATTTTATCAATGGGCACGGTGGCTCACACCTGTAATCCCAGCACTTTGGGAGGCCTAGGTGGGTGGATCACCTGAGGTCAGGAGTTTGGGACCAGCCTGAACAACATGATGAAACCCCGTCTCCACTAAAAATATAAAAATCAGTGGCATGGTGGTAGACACCTGTAATCTCAGCTACTCGGGAGACTGAGGCAGGAGAATTGCTTGAATCTGGGAAGCAGATGTTGCAGTGAGCTGAGATGGCACCACTGCACTTCAGCCTGGATGACAGAGCAAGCAAGACTGTCTCGAAAAAAAAAAAATCATTTTATCATGCTTACCCCACTAAGTCTACTTTACTTTCTCCCTCTTGCTCTCAGTCCCTCCTCTTGGCTCTTTTTGTTTTTGTTTTTTTTCCTCCCGTACAACCATACCCAACCACATCCCAGCCATTCTTCAGGAACTCAGACATATCTTTTTTTTTTTTCTCCTAGCATGATGCCCACCCCAAGATACTTACATGTCTTCAGCAACACCTTCCTAACAGCTTCATGGTATCTTGTGTGGCTATTCTGGTGCACAAAATAATTCCCATCTTTTGAGATAATCGGGGGAAGCCTAGTGGGCTCTGGTTCCTTCTGGTCTGAAATGAGAGTAGACTTGTTCTGAGTACTTGGCAAATGACTATTTGATTCTCTGATTCCCTGGTCTCCATGCTAACCACGTACGTGGCAGGGATCTCTCCTCAGGAGTCAAATCACCATGCCTGTGACAGAGGGGAGGGAGAGAGAACCCAGTGATCACAAGACCTCCCTTTCCACTTCCTTGCTCCTTCCTGACTCCTGGGTTTTAAGAGACCAGCTTCTGGAATCAGGATATTAGACACATACCTAAGGTTAGTGCAAGTGAAAAACGCCCTTATCTGGGTATACATTCCTTTCCTGGGACTGGCATATTTGCAGAACTTCAAATGGTGTAATAGTGGAAGTTATGTTAGAGCTAAGTCTTAGAGGAAAAGAAGGAGGTAGGTGATAGTAGAATCAGGAAGAGCACTTCAGACAGCAGAATGGCAAGTATTTAGAAGCATTAGAGAGGCATCAGAAAGCTATTGGTTTGGAGCCTGGAGTGCTGGGTGAAGAGAAGGACAGGAGATGGGGCTGGTAAGGTAGTGTAGTATGGCGGCCACCTAGCATTCATTATGTTTGGAAATCACTCCCTATAAAGCAAAACCTGTATCTCACAGTAGAAGCTGAAAAGACTAGGTCTTCCTTGCCCAACCTCTCTTTCATCAAGGATATGGGCAAAGAATTTTGGCTAGGCCAATCAAACACATTTGCTTCAGATTTTGAACCAAAGATAAGATCGCAAGGAAACAGTGGCCGTATGAAGTTATCTGCTAGTGATAGGAGGTGACTCCATCTCAAAGAAAAAAAAAAAGATTTCTGTCTCATGATCTTGGCTGTTCCATCCATTCTGGCATGCAAGCCAAAAAGGCACTAGGCCCCTTTCTCTATTTCCTCCAGCCAAATGCAGAGTAAAATCCAGTTCTTGGCCAGGCACAGTGACTCATGCCTGTAATCCTGGCACTTTGGGAGGCCAAGGCAGGTGGATCACCTGAGGTCAGAAGTTCGAGCCCAGCCTGGCCAACATGGTGAAACCCTGTCTCTACAAAAGATACAAAAATTAGCATGGTGTAGTGGCGCATACCTGTAGTCCCAGCCACTCAGGAGGCTGAGGCAAGAGAATCGCTTGAATCCGGAGGTGGAGGTTGCGGTAAACCAAGATTGTGCCACTGCACTCCAGCCTGGGCGACAAGAGCAAATCTCCGTCTCAAAAAAAAAAAAAAAAAAAAAAAAAAATCACCCAGCTCTGCATCTGATGTTTTCAGTGCCTCCATTCTGTATTCCTGGAGCAGAAGCCTCATCCCATTCCTCAGATTTTTATTTTTCATGATTATGGATGCTTGTCAGGAACTGGATCAGTTTACCATTCTCTTTGGAAATTGTCAAGGATTGCTGACTAATCTCTGGTGGAGGGTGGCGATGCCACTTCTGTTCTGGAGTTCTTCCCCAGCTCCTGCTTTTTCCTCTTCTTCCTGGCTCAGCCTCACTCACTCATCATCTCTGTCCCTCATCTCTCTCTTTTGTCATCCAATTAAATCTCCTTTAACATTCTCTATCTGAGATAATGATATCACCAGAGTGGGGCACAGTTTGAATCCTCTCCCCGTACAGTTGAGGACTTGGAAAAACAACAGTATTGAAGTCTTGGTTAGCATATAGAGTTCTGGAAGCCTGGACTGAACCATGGGGCTGATTTGTACTTCATCACAGGTTATAGCAATGGGGCCATTTCTTGGAAGCAATATAATTGAGCTTGGTATTTGAATTTGGGCAAGGTGGGGGTGGCAGGATGTCCTTGGACAAATGGAAACAGACCAAGGAGAAAGAACAAGCATATTCCTAGTGGCCAGTGGGACCTAGACTGAGAGTAATTATTGATCTGAGCTCAGGTGACAGGAACTCGTATCTGTTCCCAAGGCCTCAGGCTGACTGTCAAGGGTACAGGCTGATGATGTTCTCTATTATCTCAACGTGTCCAAGTAGCAGGGTCCCAGCTTCCCATATGGATGGTCAGTGAGTGCTTGGAGGTGTGCTGGACAGTACCACCCACCTGGATGCCTTCCTATGGAATCAACCACCAACTGGCATATACCTTGCATCTATTTTTGGCCAACTGGGAGATATTCTTGGTAACCCATAAATTCTCTGAGCTGTCAAGATTTGGAAGGTACCTGGGGTGAAGGGGGCAGGGATTGGAAAGAATTATGACACAGCTGCTGTGAAAGGGCATGTTCTGGGTGGAGGGATACAATGAGCTCTTTCTAACCAAACTCCACTGTGGTAAGGTAGATGAATCAATTATTCTGTCAGTAGGTGGTACAACAGAGGTCTGTCATCCACCCAGTTAATGCCATGCTCTGCATGGTCTTTGTTGGTACGTAGATATGAAGTAATCTCAATAGTTTCTAAAACTGGGCCATAAATTGGGGGTTGCCATAAAACCACCTTCAATGCTTTGAATAGAAACTATGAAGGACATCTAGGGTAGTGTAAAAGTACTTGAGTGGCTCCTCCATCCCCCCAGATTGGTGGTAGAAATTTCTCAGTATTACAAGCTTCCCTGTGAATCAGGGGTGGTCACACAATCTTAGTTATTCACTAATTTGCCCATTGCCTGTTTGCTGCACCTGGGGCTGATTGACCACAATGTTTTCAGGGTGAAGAATTTTTAGAATGAGTCTACCTTTGTGGCTCCCAGAAATCTACCTTCTAGATTGGGGTATTTGCAGCCATGCATGGTGACTATGCCTATAATCCTAGCACTTTGGGAGGCTGAGGTGTGGCAGCATGAGCCTGTGGTCTCAGCTACTCGGGCGGCTTAGGTGGGAAGATTGCTTAAGCTCAGGAGGTTGAGGCTGCAGTGGGTCACGACTGTGCCACGGCACTCCAGCCTGGGTGACACAGCAAGACACTGTCTCAAAAAACAAAAATACAAACAGATAGAAAAAAATGACTCATGACTCCTATCTATATCATCTTCCCTGATACAAAGAAATTGTCAGTATTTTGGGAGGAAGTGGACAGAAGCATGAGCCCAGGAGAGAAGACCAATCCTCAAGGCATGTTTTCCATATGGAAGCAGTTCCTTTGGCTTCATGTCCAAAAATACCTTCCTTGAAGTGGTGCACTTGTTCAGAATTCTGAACATGAGAAGTAGATGGGGCACGAGAGAACAGCAGGACCTAGAGCTGGTTGCAGATTGCTGATGTTAAGTGGAGTACACAGATTTTTCTAGAGATAATAACAATAAAAATAGCTAGTGAATGTGCTTGGCACAACTCTATAATGTAGGTGCCATTATTATTTCCCAAAGAGGAAACAAGCACAGAAAAGTTTAGTAATTTTCCCAAGGTTACATAACTAGCATATGATAGGGACATGAGTTTAACCCAAGTAGTTTGGCTCCAGAGCCCATTTTCTTAACCACCATCATAACATCATCAGGCTTCCCAGGAAAGACAAAGGACTAAGGGAAAACATAGACTGTTTGAACTAGCCCTTTGATGGGCTCCCCTGTCTACAGCTCAGTGGGGATCCTGTCAAGGGGGTCTGCTTACCTGGCGCAGCCTTGAGTTAGGTGAGTGACATGACATCATTGGCTTGATCCACAGGCAGAACCCTACCTCCTAAATGTGTAATATCTACTAAAATGTGTAATATCATTTCCTATGGCCAGGATGAGGGGAGCAGAGGCCTGGAACTTGGTGGGTAACTGCCAATGGCTTAGATCAGTCACAGTGTGGAAGACCAGTGCAGAAAGGCTAAACCCTTGTGGGAAAAGTGGCCTGTCTGCTGCAGTACAGACACAGTCACCCAGCTTAGAGGTGGGCCCACTCCTTAAGCTTAGAGTGTAGCTATGAGTATCAAGAGTACCTTCCTCTTCTAATTTCATGTGGATAGGGGATGGGGTTGTGTTTTCTTTTTTTTTTTTTTTTTAAATTTAGATGGGGTTTCACCATGATGGCCAGGCTGGTCTTGAACTCCTGACCTCGGGTGATCCACTCACCTTGGCCTCCCAAAGTGCTAGGATTACAGGCATGAGCCACCGCCCCTGGCTGGGGTTGTGTTTTTATTAAGACAGGATCTTGCTCTGTTGCCCAGGCTAGAATGCAGTGGCACAATCATAGCTCACTGAAGCCTGGAACTCCTGGGCTCAAGTGATCCTCCTGCCTCAGCCTTCTGAGTAGGTGTACGGGCGTGTGCCACTACACCTGGCTAAAAAAAATTTTGGAGGGCTGGGCAACATGGTGAAACCCTGTCTCTATTAAAAATACAAAAATTAACTGGGCGTGGTAGTAGGCGCTTATAATCCCAGCTACTCAGGAGGCTGAGGCAGGAGAATCACTTGAACCCGGGAGGCGGAAGGTGCAGTGAGCTGAGATCGCACTGTTGCACTCCAGCCTGGGCAACAGAGAGAGACTATCTCAAAAAAAAAAAAAAACAAAAAAAACACCAAGTAAAACAAAACAAAACAAAACAAAAAAAAACGAAAAGCCAACAGTGCCCTCTGCTGGAGTCTGAGAACGGGATCTCCAGCTGTCTCCTAACAGGTGGTTCACTAAAGAGGCAGCTCAGAGAGGCAAGGAGACAAGACTGAGCAGAGGACATTCCAGCCAGGCTTGGGAAGACTACCTTTTGTGTCCTCTGACAGGATCCAGGAAATGAGAACGTAAGTAAGATGTGTTCGGCTTTCTTTAAAAAAATTCATTTGGAATTGGAAGTGAGAGCAGCTCTGAGGACTCATTAGTGAATCCTCAGGGAAGGGGAATGATAAGGGCAGCAGTGGAAGGAGGTGGAATGAGGCCCTTTGGATGTACACAGCTCGGAGGTCAGTGTGTCTATGGCTAGACGGCAGTCACTGGAGAATCTGGCAAGGAGAAGTCATTTGTCTCAATTGTCTCAAGACAAGAACAGGCTTAATCTTACCCTACCACCAAATCTTGCAGATTTTCTCTGTGGCTCCGGTCAATAAACAATGTTCTGGGTGCCTAGACTTGTGTTATGGTGAGAGCTAGGCTGACACAAGGTTTTCATATAACAAGGCAAGGGAGTTGTCTCAAAGAAGGGCCAGATTAGAGGGAATTTGTCTAGAACAAAGAACAAGGCCCTCCTGGACCAAGAGGAGTGTCAGGTACAAAGCTAAGAATAAATAAGAGAGCAGGGTTCAAAGCCAGTATTGAGAGAGATTCAGCAAAGGAAAGGAGTGATACAAGATTGTGCTTCCCAGAACAGGACAGAAGCAAGAGCTTGGGCACCCAAGAGCCCAGGGCAAAAGGTGAAGGAACCCTGGAAACTGGGCTGAACCTGCAGGAGCAACCAGTATTAGAAAGAGGAAGGGTGAGCCTGGAAAGGACAGGAATCTTCCAAGCGGTAGACATAAGAGTTCTGGTCACTGGTCAGTGGTGCTCTTCTGTGGGCAGTGAGTTGATCAGGCTCTTTTAGGGCCTAGATGAAATATTCTTTGAAGCCAATCAGCATTTTTTTGTACCTCAAGGAATCCTGTGGCTAAAAATATTGTTTTCGGCCAGGTGCAGTGGCTCATGCCTGTAATCCCAAAACTTTGGGAGGCCAGGGTGGGTGGATCACGAGGTCAGGAGTTTAAGACCAGCCTGGCCAAGATGGTGAAACCCTGTCTCTACTAAAAATACAAAAATTAGTTGGATGTGGTGGCAGGTGCCTATAATCCAAGCTACTCGGGAGGCTGAGGCAGAGAATTGCTTTAACCCAGGGGGCAGAGGTTGCAGTGAGCCGAGATTGTGCCACTGCACTCCAGCCTAGGCAACAGAGTGACTCTGTCTCAAGAAAAAAAAAAAAAAAAAAAAAAAATATATATATATATATATATATATATATATATATAGTTTTTTTCTAGGTATCCTTTCACGGCAATGTTTGAGTAGTGGACAAAGATATTCTGGTCACAGGAAAGGTATACTTTCCATATGTAAATAGTGAACTTACATGTGATTTATAACTTTTCCTCCATATGTGTTGTACAGTTTTATGTGCTAGGTCTTAGGTGCATTACATACATTATTTTATGTCCACAATAAATCTTTTTTTTTTTTTTTTTTTTGGAGGCAGATTCTTACTCTGTTGCCCAGGCTGGAGTACAGTGGCTTGATCTCAGCTTACTGCAAACTCTGGCTCCTGGGTTCAAGAGAGGCTCATGCCTCAGCCTCCCAAGTAGCTGGGATTACAGGCACCTGCTACCTCACATGCAGCTAATTTTTGCATTTTTAGTAGAGATGGGGTTTCACCATGTTGGCCAGGCTGGTCTTGAGCTCTTGATCACAGGTGATCTGCCTGTCTTGGCCTCCTAAAACAGGCCATCCACCTGTCTCGGCATTCTAACACCTGCTGGGATTACAGATGTGAGCCACCACACCCAGCCTTTCTACATTAAGTCTATAAGGCAGACATTATTGTCTCCATTTATAGGTGAGGAAACTGAAGCACTATGAATTTGCTTCGTGTGAGTTAGCCTCCTGAATTTGAATATCTTTGGATACTTGATAAACTGAGTTTCTTTTTGTTTTTGAGTCAGTCTCACTCTGTCACTAGGGTGGAGTGTAGTAGTGCAATCATACTCATTGCAGTCTCAACCTCCTGGGGTCAAGTGATCCTCCCACCTCAGCCTCCAAAGTAGCTGGGTCCACAGGCATGTACCACCACCACCACACCTGGCTAATTTTTTGTAGAGACAAGTTGGTCTGAAACCCCTGGGCTTAAGTAATCCTCTTGCCTCAGCCTCCCAAAGTGCTGGGATTACAGGTATGAGCTGTTGCACTTGGCTTAAACTGAGTTTCTGAAGTCATGGATATACCAAAGTATGTTCCCCACACCCATTTTCCTCTTTGGCTTTTCTATTTTGATTCTTTATCAGGAGGAAAAGAAAGGAAGGAGGCAGGGATTTGCAGAATGTTTGATTACATGTGTTGACTCACCTCTGTGAGTTTTCACTATGACTATAATAAGGAAAGTTTGAGTGGGCCCTTTTGAGTTGAATGTTAATACACTCACACCTACTAGGAGGGAAAAAAAAAGCCTATTGTTCTTCAAGGAAAAATTGTGAATGACTTAAAAATATCATGATAGTAAGAATGTTAAGAATGAAAAGTGTGAATATTAATAGGTTCATTTATTTTTTCCGAGATGGAGTCTTGCTCTGTTGCCCAGGCTGGAGTGCAATGGCGCAATCTCAGCTCACAACTTTCGCCTCCTGGGTTCAACAGATTCTCCTGCCTCAGCCTCCTAAGTAGCTGGGATTACAGGTGGATGCCACCATGCCCAGCTAATTTTTGTATTTTTAGTAGAGACGGGGTTTTTCCATGTTGGCCAAGCTGGTCTTGAACGCCTGACCTCGTGATCTGCCCACCTCAGCCTCCCAAAGTGCTGGGATTATAGGTGTGAGCCACCACACCTGGCCTTAATAGGTTCATTTTTATAGTTGTTAAAGGCCTAGCTAAGGGACCAGGCAAGAATATGACTGATTTGAACCACAGAATGGTTGAAGTGCTAAAAGCAGATGGACAGAAAGGAGTCAAGCAGTTTGAATGAATGTATCAACAAGGTGAAATAAAGAAAGAAACTGGTACCAGTGACCCATTCTGGAGACAAAGGAGTCTTTTGAGATTGTTTGGCTTGTGGAAAGGGGTGAGTAGAGATTCAGGAACTGTGGGTTTCCTGAATTAAGGGACATAGAATTTGGGATGAGAAAGACCAAGGTAAGCAAGG